GAAATATATTGATAGCATAAACATGATATATATTTAATTAAACTTAATATTTTCTTGCCTTGATTTAATTGCAAAAATCTTTAATTGCAATTATTATGAAACGAAACACGATTATTAATTTTTGTTAAAAGAAAAAAAGGAAGAAAAATGCCAAAAGTACCGAGTTGATTCGATTAATGACCAAAGGTCGTACCAGACAGATTGTTGCGTTGATTCGTTCTTCGCGAATCTGGGGAATTATTCTTCTCACGAAGCTTGCGGGGAAGACTCAGGCTTGGGGGTATTAGTGGACGAAGTTTCATTGGCGAGAAATTTCTTGTGCTTGGACAAAAAATATTGAATCATAGCTGTTACAATCTAGCGCGTATTTTACTCCTTTACAACGCGAAAGTTTCGCTTTTTTTTCACTCGTAAGGCACACGATTGCGGTGTAGTTGCCTGTTGCCCTGTATGGGGGATGATAAAGCACCGCGCTAGTTTATATTGCAAAGAGAGTTCATTCTGTTCGTATAACACTATATATACCCCGTTTTTAATTAATTCTCTTCGTCGTTAATACCACGTGCAAAATATATACCCACCTATATCTAATTAACCATGCAGGCAAATCGATTTGCATCGTTAATGGATCGCCGATTGCGGAGATCTGTTTTTCTGCAGCGTGACACACGCATTGTTTTGCAATTTTAAATGCAAACTAGAATGTAGGCATACACAATGTTAAAAGATACGAGCTTATATAATTCCCTAACAGGGATAAAAAATAGTTAACCAACATGGAACCTAAAATCGATTCTTTACAAGTGAAATATAATTCCGTTGAGTTGAGCGAGTGGCTTAGATTATTATTATTTTTTTTTATTCTTTAGCGTTAAATGAAATTAAAGAATCCAGAAATGTTTGAAGCGATTTGAAAAAATTTTTAATATTGTCAGAGAAAAATTGGATATTGAAATTGTTATGATAGATATAGTTATAAAACAAGATGAACAGATTAATGAAATTTCTTTAGATTAGATAAATAATGAAATAATAAAGATAGTGAATCGTCTAGGTAAGTGTTGTGTATGACAATGTTTGATTAAATACATGTTATTTCGTCGAAACATTTTAAAATTTAAAATCGTAAAAATATATTTTTTTTCAAGCGAGAAAGATTGTCATCGATTGTCGATCAAACATCAGTTAACCCCATATAATTTCCATTTGCCGAAATTCAACTGTATTATTTACGTATCGTATACAAGAAATCCATGCAAAATTATATTTTATACCGAAAGTATTGATTTTATGTTCTATGTTGGTTAAGCATTTTTTGCTTCTCTCTGTACCGAGTAGGTACAGTACGAACCTATAAAGACGCTTTCACCTTAAATAAATCTTGTATAAATATTTGACTTTAATTTTTAAAATTTTCCACGCGGCCAAGGATTCGTTGCGCTTTCTTGTTAAAAAGGAAACGCTGCATAAGAAAAGAAAAAAAAAAATTAAACGAATCGAAAAATATGTCTCTTTCCTTTTCTCTTTTTAAGGCACCGGCCCTTTCCAGGCAGCTAATCCACCGTGAAAAAAATCGAGCTGCATCGATTATGAGATTTTCTCGATTACGTAAAAGATTCCTATCATTTCCGCCCTGTCGGTATTTTAGACAGCTGAGACTGCATTTCTTGCAAAGTATCACGGTAGATCTCTTCGGGCTTTTCGTTCACATTTCGTCGTAATTGAATCACCGATTTGCCCCGAATTTGGAACACAGGCCTGGGCTTCCTCCTTCCTGCTATCCTCCGTTACACGTGTATGCATCGTACGTGTATATGTAAATTCTGCACACACACACACACACATACAGAGTTTGAGTTTATATAAACGTACGTGGCACGTAGGCATGTGGAGGTATGCCAAGGATGCACCCGCCACGATGGC